CTTGGAGATGGGAATGAGCACTGCGCCCTAGAGTCAGACATGACTGGTCTAAACATCAAGGGGAACCTTTACCTTTACCTAAGGCTGGAAAAAATGCCCATATCATTCTAGCCACAACACTAGAGGACTGGAAATAAATTGATAAACTCACACGAACTAAGTTTTTTAACTATCTAGTTGGCCACTGGTTGTGACTTCTTAATAGCTTTTGATGGTTCATGAAGGAATATGTTATCTTTTCATTTTTCCTAGGATGAGGAGGAAACCATGATCTTCAGATCCCACCTCACCTCACCCACTTTTAAATGATGTAGGAATAAACACATTTTTTTAAAAAAAAGACCCAGCATAGTGTACTGCACAGAGTCCCAGGGTTCAGGAGAAATGGGTTCAAACTCCTGCTTAGCCATGGGAAACTCACTGTGGGGTGGCGGTAATAAATTTCTCCTGGAACATCCCATCTACCTTGATAACTCTATGACAGTCACCCTAAGTGACTTAATGACACATACTGTAATAAAAAAAACAAATGGGGACAACTCAAAATATGTGCATTTGAAATATACACACAAAGATGCTTTGAACCAAGAAAGAAGGATGTACAAAAAGGTAAACTGAGCACAAAAACGCACAACATCTCCATGTGCGGGAACAGTAAGGATTTTTTAAAAAGTTCTCATACTGTCTACAGATGGAAGGAGAATGCTGACGAGATTGCGTAAAAGGAAATAAAAATAAAGCTGACAAGCCTCTCATACCTGAATGCTGCCTCGTGAGATGAGAATCCAATTACAATCTGCTAGGATGTGTTGTTTTTCAATACAAAACCCGAAGAACAGGAAGTCCTTTGGGAGCGTTCCTTGAGCTGTTTTATGTATGAGCTGCGAACCTTTTCGAGTCGCCAACTTTTTTCAGCTCACAAGTTCCTGTGCTTTTTAAGCAGGGGGGGAAAAAGCAGAAGGCTAATAGGGAGAAACATCCTAAGAAAAAAAACAGAGCATAGAGCGGGCAAGCCGTTCAAAGAGTTTAAAGGTGTGAATCCATGCAAACAGAGGTGGTCTGGGCTCCCCCATCACTTGAAGTGAGCGTGAAAAAGGGTGCCAGCCCTCCACAAGGGGAAATGTGTACTCTCAGATGCTCAAGGAACAAAGACGATATGCCACTGCATATCGTGTGTCTTCTCGCCACCGGTGGATTCCACTTTCAAAAGTGAGGGTGGTAGACAGGTGGAGAACTCGATAAAGCTCGTAAAGCACTTAGCAAATTGCAGGTCCCTATAAAGCTGGCGGAAGTGTCCGACTTTGCTTGCTTTCAGGATGAGGAAGCAGGGTGGAAAGGTTTTGTTACTTTCCCCCCTGACTGCCACTCATAAAATACACAGACTTTAGCCGGATTAAAAAGGAAGGAAAACATTAGTCTCTCTTGGTGCAACCTTTGCAGAGAAACCCAATAACAACGACTTAGAAAAGTCTCTCGTTAAAAGATACAGATTTGGCGGTCCTTGGGTCCTTTGAACCACACAGGAGCAGAAACTACGGGCTGGAGAAACTGCACACAGAACAAGCGTGTTAACCATTAACTAGCAAGTTAACATGGCGCTCAATGCAGATACCGAGGCAAGACCAGAGGGCTAAAGGAAAAGGTGTGGAAACAAACAGGACACGGGCCAAGAGGGTGGGAAAAGGCATTTCATGAACCAGGGTGTGCGGCTCGGTCCGACGGAGATGGTGACAGGCTTCTGCTGTGAATACCACACCACACATCCAACTGCGCTTGAAAGAAGCACAACGGTAGTATCAGCACCAGCAAGAGAGAGAAGGGGCGTGAGAGGCAGACAATGTAATCTTAACTGACCAAGATAACCAAAGGTCTACGTGAGCTGAACCGGAAGCTGTATTGAATCCAAACCCCCTCTTGGCCAAGGGACGTTGGCCGTTATTATTATTATTTATTTGACTTCTATATGGCCCATCTGCCTACCAGGTGCTTCACAACAGAGAACAAGACAATCGTCAACATCAACAAACCGAAATATAATAACATCAAAATAAAGAAATATCAACAGTCTAAATCACTTATCATTCCTTAAGATTATCCAACACACACATATGTTGGATTTATTTATTATTATTATTATTATTTGCCAACTTAGCGGCCTCATCCTGGGCAGGTGAAGGTTTTGCTCCTCCCTCCCTCCACCTTTTCACCACCACCCCCTTTTTCAGCAGACCCTACGCGGAACAGTCCTGGCACCAGATCAATCTATCCGCAGATCTCCGACATCCACCAGAAGAGGAGGGATTTACTGGCAGAAAGATATTTCTATCAGCAGAGGGTCAGTTTTACTCACAGTGTGGATTTGCGTCCGATTCCAGCAACTGGCGTGTGAGTTAGAACTGAGGTCTCAATGAATGACAGCTTGTCAGCTATTTAACTTTCTCGCTTGCACCGTCCGAGTAAATCCTGCGTTCACCTGCTGGATGGTTGCAGGAGGTGGTGGTACTGGGGGGTTAGGATGGCCATGTTCCATCTGCCCAAATCATAGGCATGGCATCCAGGCGCAGTACGAAAAGACACCGCCCAAGGCAGAAATATAATTCAAAGGCAAACACACACTGGGCTAAGGAGTAACGAATATTCACAAAGGTCCATGTGCTTGATGGGAAAAGCGTCTTCACACAATTAAAGCACCTTATCAAAAAATGGTCGGCTATTGCAAGATTTTGCACTCCTGCGGGAAATTGAACCCCCCCCCCCAAGCGATTTTCTTTCAGTAGTGGCCGATTAGCAAAAGGTTTGGCACAACAATTCTGCATTTTTCTTGTATTTACAGCTTTCATGCAAAATATTAAAAACTCTCTTTTTTTTCATTTAAAATTGTTGAAATGGAGAAAAATGTCAAAAACTCTCAACAACCTTACTCAGCACTATTTTCTGATCTTTTGCCGTTACCAACAACAATGACATAACAAAGATTTTTACAAGGGAGAAGATCCTCAACATATATATATATATATCTTTATGCAATATGAATTTCTCATCAACACATTTCGATGAATACAGTAAAACTAGTACATCCACTTCAAGAGGATGAATGGCCCAAAATGTGGGGTGGAAATAGAAGAAATAAAATAAATAAATGCATAATTTGCTATGTCTGTATTACTGGGTTTAAGTTTTCCAAAACAGCCGTCCCCAATACTTTTAAAGGTTTTGTACCAAAACATATTCAAAATTGATATACCGTATTTTTCGCATCATAAGACGCACTTTTTTCCCACAAAACAGGGGGGGGGGTGGAAAGTCTGTGCGTTTTATGGAGCGAAGAAAATAGATTATATTTTCCTGTTTTCTTCTCCTAAAAAATTGGTGCGTCTTATGTAAAGGTGCGTCTTATGGAGCGAAAAATACGGTAGTTATCATTAGAGCCAAACCATCTGGGTTTTTTTTCCCCAGAAAAAAAGTTAATAACAGCCATTATTGGCAGAGAAGGGAAAGAACAGGGAGAAAAGGCTCCCTCTCTCCTGTCTAATTCAAAGGAGGCCGAGGTCTGCAACTTTGGTTATACACCTGAGACTTAAGACCCCCAGGCTTCCCGGATGACCAGGGTTGCACCGTTAAAACCAGTGTGACACCTCTGCTCATGACATGTCTGATTTGACTCCAATGACACACGCCTTCATTACATTTCCCGGCTAGATTACCGTAATGTGTTTCATGTGGGGCTGCCCTTGAAGACAGTTTGGAAACTTCCGTGGGTTCAAAGCAGCCAACCTGCTGACCGGAGCCATTTATAGGGAAAAATATACCTCCCTTGCTACTGTACTAGTTACTATATTTCCAGCCCAATTCATTGAAGGTTTCTAAAGGACCCTATCCACTCACAGGGCCCCTCCTGGCCCTTAAGATCTTCAGAGGAGGCCCTCCTCTGTGTCCCATTGCTATCCCACGCACATTTGACAGGGACATAAGCGAGGGCCTTCTCTGTGGCCACTCCAAGGTTGCACAACGATCTCCCTCAGGAGATTAGGTGGCCCGCTCTCCCTTTTATCCTTCCTGCAACAGTTAATACCTGCCTCTCCAAGCAGCCTTTTAATAACTCAGTATGAGTCCCCCCTTGGATTATCTTCTTTTTAAATTTATAAATCAGACCACCTTTTTAGTTATGCAAAAGCAGGCGATGAGCTGCATTTCATATCAACCCAATGGCTCCCCCCTCCCTTCTTTTTAAATAGGATTACGATTATATTCACAGAAAAAGAAACTGCCCACACAAGCCTGGGGGTACCTGAATTTGTGTCACGTACTCTTGCACTACGCATTTGATGAACAAATTAGGAGCGCCCGGATTCGCCCCCTGCTGCAGGAATTTCAAGGTGGCTCAGAAGAGCGGCTGGCCACGTATCGCGCCAGCAAACCAGAACTCCCACAGAATGGCTCGTGACCAACTTTTTTTTTTAACGGTTGCCATATGCAGAACGGTTGCGCTGCTGACTGAGGCTTGAACATTTCTTGTTCTTTGTTTTTTTGGATTCACTGCCTTTATGGTATGGGTCATATGGAAGGGATGTAGTGGCGCTCCGGGTTAAACCACAGAAGCCTCTGGGCTGCAAGGTCAGAAGACCAGCAGTCGTAAGATCGAATCCACGCGACGGAGGGAGCTCCCGTTGCTTGTCCCAGCTCCTGCCAACCTAGCCGTTCGAAAGCATGCAAATGCAAGTAGATAAATAGGTACCACCATGGTGGGAAGGTCATGGTGTTCCGTGTCTAGTTGCGCTGGCCACATGACCCCAGAAACGGTCCTCGGACAAACGCTGGCTCTACGGCTTGGAGACGGAGATGAGTACCGCCCCTTAGAGCCGGACACAACTGGACTCAATGTCAAGGGGAACTTTCACCTTATGGGTCATATGACTGCAATAAGCTTTAGTATTACTTGATGAGGATGACATTTTTGTTTTTAATCTTTCTATCTTATTGGGTTTCCTGTCTGACGTATTTTAATCGTGGTCAGCCACCTCGAGGTCCCCTTCATCTAGGTGAAAAGCAACCTAGAAATAAAACAAGCCAATAAATAAATGAGGGGGCTGGGGAAAAGAACAAGCCCCCCCCCACTACTTTGGCATCATCACCCAGATGTTTTTGAATCTAAAACATCAGCCAACCTAGGTGGAAAGCAACCTAGAAATAAAACAAGCCAATAAATAAATGAGGGGGCTGGGGAAAAGAACAAGCCCCCCCCCACTACTTTGGCATCATCACCCAGATGTTTTTGAATCTAAAACATCAGCAGACCGGTAGGGATCATTATTGTTAAGTGACACGGTGCAATCCCGCGGAAAAGAACAAGCCCCCCCATACACTGCTTTGTCACCATCACCCAGACGTTTTTGAATCTAAAACATCAGTAGGGATCATTATTGTTAAGTGACACGGTGCAACCCACATTGTTTTCCACGCTCAGTTTCTACCTTCTCCTCCCGAACATGTGGAGGAGTTTTCGAATCCAAAGTAGCCACTGCTTGGCTGAGCAAAAGGAACCAGGATTAAAAATGGAAATCCTACCTTTGACTTTCCCGCCATCTTTTTCAAGAAGCTGAGCGTCCGCCCCAGGGTGGTCCCCTCCCGCTGGGGGTGTACCTGGTCGTTGTCCTCCACCGTGGTGGCGTCCAGCCACCCACAGCTCCCTGCGCTGAAGCTGTAAGCGTGGAAGGAATGAAAGAGTGACAAAGGAGAAGGATCCGGGCAATGCACACACACACACACACACACACACACACATGCAGAGCAATGCCAAACAATCACGCTTTCTGTTGTTATTGTTTCTAGGCCAGGAAACAGGGAGGGACCGGTTCCCTCGGCGGCCCCCGGTGACCTCAGAGGGTGGCTGCTCCAATTCCCAGCTGGAGAGATGCAGCATAGAAGCATCTCTGTTTATTTAAGCTCAGCAGGCATTCAGCAAGAGATGGAATCTGCGCAAGCCACTCCCAGCTACAGAAACGGAGTTTGGGGCTTCCAAAACTTTTCCCACTGGAAAAGCTGAACAGAGCGAAGTCCCCTTCCTGCTCTGCTCTTCACCTCACTTTATGGAGCCCAGGTACAGGACAATACTGTCGAATAGGATTATGATTATTTCACATCCACCACACGCATGTTGTTGTGGTTTAGTCATTTGTGTCTGACTCTTCGTGACCCCACGGACCAGAGCACGCCAGGCCCTCCTGTCTTCCACCGCCTCCCGGAGTTGGGGGGACAATACTGTCGAATAGGATTGTGATTATTTCACATCCACCACACACATGTCGTTGTTGTTTAGTCATTTGTGTCCGACTCTTTGTGACCCCATGCATGGACCAGAACATGCCAGGCCTTCCTGTCTTCCACTGCCTCCCGGAGTTGGGTCAAATTCATGTTGGTAGCTTGTATTGGAGCCTCAGCTTCAGGATCTGTCCTTCCGCACACATCAGTCTTTACAATATCTTAAAATACCCAAGCCTTTTCCTGACAGATGCATGGCCGAGAAACCCCAGGTACTCACTGCCTCATGCATCTGAGGAAGAAGGTGACAATCCACAAAAGATCACGCTGAAAGAAATCTCCTTTAAAGGTATCACAAGACTCTTTTCTCCTCTTTTTGTATGTTGAAACAGACTAACTCAGTTATCTTTTGGGAAACCGTCATACGTACTCATCCGTTGACTAGTAATTTTACATTACTCCTGTATGATCTTCCACTGTTTTATTACTAATGTTATCATATTTTAATGCGTAGGAGCAAGCACAATAAACCAACAGAAGATTGCACTTCATACACTCCGCTGTCCGAGAACCGTTTAAGGAAGGCTGGTGTGAGTTGCAGATTGTGGATAAAGCTGATCATGCGTACTCAGAGGATTTTTACCCCTTAGATTGCACATGTGTGGAGCCCCAATAAAGCAAGAGAAGATTGCACTTCATACACTCCGCCGTCCGAGAACCATTTAAGATTGTGGATAAAGCTGATCATGCATACTTAGAGGATTTTTACCCCTTAGATTGCACATGTGTGGAGACTGATTATGTGATTTACCACTGGAAGAAGAGACAAGGCCTTCTCTTACCAATCCCAACAACAACAACAACAACAACAACAACAACAACAACAACAACAACAACAACACTTCATTGTCTCTTCTCAGGTTTAATTAAGAAGAAGAAGAAGAAGAAGAAGAAGAAGAAGAAGAAGAAGAAGAAGAAATAATTGCAGAGTTCATGGCTAGCACCAGAGTGGAGTTCCAGGATCAAATCATGACAGGATTTAAATTAAACCAAACATAATCTAGAAGGCCCTAAATGAAAAAGCTGTGTGACGGTGTTGTAAGTTAGCAGGGTCTCCCTTTTTTTGGAGGTTTCGAAATGGATGGCCGTTGGTTACACATTTCTTGCACGGCCGGGGGGGGCTGGACTAGATGACCTCTGAGATCCTTCCCTGACACTATGGTCCTGCGATTCTAAATTATTCCTTACTGTGGCAGCTAAACTTTTCCAGCTTGCCTTAGATTGCAATCGAAACACTATTGACCCCCTGGGGCTAAAAGTCGTTGAGTGGTCAAGGTGAAAGGTGAAAAAACAGCAGCATTCACAAAAAAATAAAAGGCAAGGCAGAGGACTTCCAGAAGCCAGGCAGCGAAACAGCAAAAACATCCCATCGCCACCTCCCCAACCAGCCGTGTCCCATAATGAAGATGGAAATCAGAACTGGCAGGGCAGTGATGGGGAAGAACAGAGATTGTGCAGAATATTGAGGGGGGGCGTGGGTGTGGGGAGAGGGAGGGAGAGAGAGAGAGACTGCAATCTGCACCCCCAGAAGGGATGCGGAGGAGACTCAGAGTTGTCCCCTTGGGGATCCAGGGATTTATAGGGCAACCCCCCTCACCGCTTTCCCCTGTCCCCATGCGTGCCTTGTCTTATGCACAGTTTAAAGTGTTCTGGACCTTTTATTAGATCTTCCTAATGAGAGCATCCTTCTTAAAGTCCTAACTGTGAAAAACTCCAATTCTATCATGGTCCACATCCTGTTCTAAAATTTCACAGGCCAACAGCGGAAAAACCCACTCTCCAGCTTCTTTGCTTCTGCCTTGCTTTCCGAAGACCTTTCGAAATCCACTAGCCTTTATGCCAGTCTGCCTAGATGAAAGACATCAATGAATCAATAGTATAATGAAATAAATGATGGATTGTGATTACAGTGGGATCTCTACTTAAGAACGCTGTGGTTATCTTGTTTGTCCTTCTCAGTCCTGACTTTGTTGTTTGTTGGGCTTTTTTATTTCGCATAGCGACGAATCCGTATAGCATCGATTTTGGCTGCACAGATTATCGTTGCTATGCGGGGCACCACAGTATTATGTTTTTGCAGGCCATCAATGTCGTGTTTGAACGAAAGCAATTTGGTCTACTATAGACACCGAAGAGCTGTTCACTTTACTTATTCTTACTTTAAGCAAAACCACTACAGCTCCTTGGAAGGACAGATCCTGAAGCTGAGGCTCCAGTACTTTGGCCATCTGATGAGAAGAGAAGAATCCTTGGAAAAGACCCTGATGTTGGGAAAGTGTGATTTCAACTTAAGAACACCGTTCCAAAACGGATTAAGTTCTTAAGTAGAGGTTCCACTGTAGTTTCTATGGACGGAAAAGAGCAGATACGGATTAAATGGTTTTCAATGCATTCCTATGGGTAATGCAGATTCAACATAAGAACTTTTCAACTTGAGAACCACCTTCCAATACGGATTAAGTTCTTAAGTAGAGACCCCACTGTATCTTGTTTGTCCTTCTCAGTCCTGACTTTGTTGTTTGTTGTTTAGACGTGTCCGACCCTTCGTGACCTCCATGGACCAGAGCACGCCAGGCCCTCTGTCTTCCACTGCCTCCCGGAGTTGGGTCAAACTCATGTTGGCCGCTTCGATGACACTGCGCAACCATCTCATCCTTTGCCGTCCCCTTCTCCTCTTGCCCTCACACTTCCCCAACATCAGGGTCTTTTCCAGGGAGTCTTTTCTTCTCATGAGATGGCCAAAGTACTGGAGCCTCAGCTTCAGGATCTGTCCTTCCAGGGAGCACTCAGGGTGGATTTCCTTCAGATAATGGATAGGTTTGTTCTCCTCGCAGTCCAGGGGACTCTCAAGAGCCTCCCCATCCTTTCTCCGTGTCTGCCACTTCTTTCACTCCTTATAAACACACCTTCTCTTTTTCGCAGCCCTGACTCTTCCTCAAGCAGCCTCTGGACATTACAGAGCTTCTCCATCAAATGAGACACGGATGCTTCTACCTACACATTGGAGGCAGGGCTGTCATAGCCACCTTGTTCCGAGTCTGACCACCAGTCCATCCAACTCACAGGGGTCAGGGGAGCAGCTCTCTGGGATTCCAGGGAGAACTTTTCCAAGTTCTTCCTGGCGATGCCAAGAATCGGACTTGAGACCTCCTGCAGGCCACACGAGTGCCCTGCCACGGAGCAACCGCACCAAGCCGTGGGATTTGGCAGGAATATGAAACATACTCCATAAATTCCTCTTTCTCTTTGATTAAGGTCATCTTGGTAACCACATGACATCTCAGTTTGGGATTTTTTAAGCCCCGTGAGATTTCTCAATCGTAAAACAAGAAGTGCTTACCCCCCCGTCCCCCCAGCAAGGATGTCTCGGCAAAAAAAAAAAAAAAAAAAAAAAA